TTTTTAAATAATGTTTTATATGTTAAACCATATAGTATACAAGTATGAGTATTGGTTTTTTTCACTCAGCATAACTTCCTGGCAATTGGTCCAAGTTGTGGCATATATCAACATTTCATTCCTTGTTATTGATGAGTACCATTCCATGGTCTGGATGCTCCACAGTTTTTAACCATTTACCCATCGAAATACATACATGTCATTTCCAGTTTTTGGCTAGTATGAATAAAGCTGCTATACATACTTGATTACAAGTTTCTGTACATTCATAAGTTTTCATTTCTCTGGGATATATGTTCAAGAGTGCAATTGCTGTATTGGGTGGTAATTACATACTTATTTTTATAAGAAACCGACAAAATGTTTTCCAGATTGGCTGTACTGTTTTACATCTTTAACAGCAATGAATACTATATGTTGGCAAATTGAACACCAATAAAAAATAAATTTATTATTAAAAAATAACACAGCAATGAATGACTTCTCAGGTTTTCTACCCCCCTGTCAGTGTGGTGTTGCAACTTATTATTTTACCATTCTGATGGGTGTGTAATAATATATTCCATTTTATTTTAAATTGTATTTCACTAATTGATGATGATAATAAAAATCTTTCAAGCATTTATTTGCCATATGTATATCCCCTTTGAATTATTTCTTAATATATCTTGTTTATTTTCTAGTTTTTTTGTTGAATTTTGAGTTGTTTCTATTTTTTTGTACACCTTGGATAATTAGTCTTTAACACATATGTGGTTTATTGCCTAAACAGTAATCTATATGAGGTTTTTTCTTTTCACCCTCTTTACAGTGTTTTCCAGAGAGCAAAATCGTTTAATTCTGATAAAGTATAATTTACCAATTTTTTCCTTTATACATTTTGCTTTTGGTGTCAACTCATCACCTTATATATTTATATACTTATATACTTTCACTTATGCTTTCTTCCCTGAGTGGTCAAAGTTCACAGTTTGTTGAAGGGCTATCATTCCTCCACTGAACCACTTTTGCACTTTTTTCAAAAATGAAGGAGAGAGGAAGATGGTGGTAGAGTAGAAGGACCATAGGCTTTTCTTATCTCACAACCACAACTAGATAATTATCAAATAATCCTAAACACACAGGACTTGACACAAATACTGACACAACAAACTCCACAACTAAAGGGAGAGATGTGACATTAGAGAAGGTAAGAAGTATGGAGAGGGGGTTTGGAGTAGAAACAGTTCATGGGTGCTACTGAGGGGAGGGAGCTGTGGGACAGAGAGAAGGGAAAGAGACAGGAGCACACAGGAATGCATGAGGAAGTTTCTCCCAAAGCTATTGGCTTCAAAAACAAGAGGGTCTGAATTTTGTGAGTTGTTGCAACCAAATGGGCTTAAATCCTGAAGTTTTACAGGTCAACAAGCTTGGATAGGATGGAACCCTGAGGGCACGACCCAGCACCTGGGAAGAAGGAGGTCAAACAATCCAGGGACAGACAGCATGGAAACAGCTATTTGAAGAATACCTGGAGCACTCAGAGGTGAGAGTACTCACTCTTCTAGGATGTCACTGAGCCGAAGCATTCAGGAAGATGCCTTTCTGGGAATAAAGAAGGTGTTCCCATTTTGAGGTATATCCCACCCATCCCACAGTATAAAAGCAGAGACACCTGCAGAAAGTAATGCAGCAGAGACACTGGCTGTGTAACATGTTAACACCAAGGCACAACCCCCCTGTGCTCTGCAGGACTGCCCTTTTCACTTAATCTTGCCTCGGTCATAGCATGGGGAGCCTGTTCTCCAGAAGACCAGCACACACCCCTGGCCACACCATGTCTCCCAACCAGAGAGTTCTACAGGGCCTCACTTATGGTAGAAGTGATGTCAAATTTCATTTCAAAAGCAGACAAGAGCACACCAAGTTAAAACTTATGACATTCAGGCCAGAGAACACACACTGCCCACAAAAAGGAAGGAAAATATCTTCAGAGAACAAGCCTGAAGGATAGACAGAAAAAAGAAACACAACAGCACAGCACATGCACCACACACTGGAGATAATCCCTGAAGTGCCAGGATTAGGATACTACATGACCTCTTCTTCATAAAGCCATTACTTTCAGGAGCAACAGACATAACTGGCTTTTCTAACACATAGAAGGAGGCAGAAACTTAGACAAATGTAATTTATGACAAATAAAAGAACAAGAAGGAGGCCACAGCCCAAGATCTAGGTGAAACAGATATAAGTAACATCCCTAATGGAAAATGTAAAGCAACAATTATTAGGATACTCAATGGGCTTGAGGAAAGAATACAAGACATTAGGGAGACTCTTACCACAGAGATAAAAGAGTTAAAAATAAATTGATCAGAGATGAAGAGTGCAATAAATGATATTGGAAACAGGCTTGATACAATGAATATTAGGCTGAAGAAAGAAAGGAGCAAATTGGTGACATAGAAGACAAAGTAATGAAAATAATGAAGCTGAAAAAAGAAGATAAAGAAGAATTATGGAACATGAGAATAGACTTAGGAAAATCAGTGACTCCATGAAGTATAGTAACATTGGTATCATAGGAGTCCAAGAAGAAGAAAAGAGGAAAGGGGACAGAAAATTTATTTGAAGAAATAATAGCTAAATACTTCCCTAATATGGGCAAAGAGACAGACATCCAGATCCAGGAGACACAGGTAACTCCCATAAAACTCAACAAAAGCAGGCCAACATCAAGACATATTCATTAAATTTGCAGAATGTTGCTATAAAGAAAAATCTTAAAGGTAGCAGGACAAAGGAGGGCTTAACTTACAAGGGAAGACCAATAAGGTTAACTGCAGCTTTCTCAATAGAAATTTGGCAAGCCAGAATGGAGTTGCATGATATATTCATAGTGCTAAATGGTAAAAATCTGCAACCAAGAATACTTTACCGGAAAGGCTATCTATCAGAATAGAAGGAGAGATAAAGAATTTTCCAGATAAAAAGTAAGGGTATTTGTGACCACGAATTCAGTCCTGCGAGAAATATTAAAGGGGACTCTGATTGGAAATGAAAGACCAAAAGTGATAATGACAAGAAAGTACCAGAGAAAAATCTCCAGAAACAACAAACAGGTAATAAAATGACATAAAATACATATCTATCAATAATTAGGTTGAATGTAAAAGGACTAAACACTCTAGTCAAAAGACATAGGGCCTCAGAACGTATATAAAAAACAAGACCCATCTATATGCTACCTGCAAGAGACTAAGTTTAAACATAAAGACACCTGCATCTTGAAAGTGATGGGATGGAGAAGCATTTATCATGCAAATGGATGTCAAAAGAAAGTGAGACTAGTAATACATATATTGAACAAAGTAGACTTTGATAAAAAGACTAATAAGAGATAAAGAAGGGTACTAAACCATTATAAAGGGGACAATCCTACAAGATCTAACAATCATAAATGTGCACCCAACATGGAAGCATCCAAATATATAAAAGAATAATAACAAAGACACTTATTGATAATAATACAATAATAGTAGAGGATTTTAACATCTCATTGACATCAATAGGCAGATATCTAAACAGAATACAAACAAGAAAACAATAGCTTTGAATGACTCACTGGGCCAGATGGATTTAACAGGTATATCCAGAACATTTCACATTACACAACAGAATATGCTTTCTTTTCAAGTGCTCATGGGACATTCTTCAGAATACATCACATATTAGGTCACAAATATGGCCTCAACAAATAAAAAACTTTGAAATCATACCATGCACCTTTTTGAATCTAGAAGTAATCCATAAGAAAAAAAAATCTAGAAGGACCACAAACAAATACATGGAGGTTAAACAGCATACTACTAATCAATGAATGAGTCAACCAGGAAATCAAAAATAGAAATAAAACATGACATAGAAGGAAATAAAAATGACAACACAATGGTTCAGAAACTTTTGGATGCAGGAAAAGCAGTCCCAAGAGGAAAGTATATAGCAATACACCTTACCTTAAGAAGCAAGAAAAATCTAAAAAAAAAAAAAAAACAATTAAATTTATACCTAAATAATCTAAAAAAGGGACAACAAATGAAGCCTAAAGCCAAACAAGAAGCAAAATAATAAACATCAAAGCAGACATAAATTATATAGAAACTTAAAAACACAATAGAACAGATCAAAGAAACAGAAGCTTGTTCTTCAAAAAAATCAATAAAATTGATAAACCTTTAGCCAGACTTATCAAAGAAAAGAGAAATGACCCAAGGAAATAAACTCACAAATGAGGAGAAACACCAACCAACAGCACAGAAATACAAACTATTTTAAGGGAATACTATGAAAAATTATATGCCAACAAATTGGACAACCTGGAAGAAATGGATAAATTCCTAGAAACATATAAACTATCATATCTGGATTAAGATGGTGGAGTGATAGGAGGACCTTATGCCTGTCTTGTCCCTCAAACAAGCTAGATAAATACCAAACCATTCTGAACACCTAGGAAATTGATCTGAGGACTGAGAGAAAAACTTCACAACTAGAGAGAGAAAAGAGGCCACATTGAGGAAGGTAGGAGGGGAAGAGACATGATTTGCAGGAGAAAAGAATTAGCAGGACTGTGGAGAGGAGAAAGCCCTGATCAGGGAGAGGGGAGGGAGAGGGGGAGGAAGAGAGAGAGAGAGAGAGAGAGAGAGAGAGAGAGAGAGAGAGATTGCACAGGAAAAACACTTCCCCCAAACCAATGATGGAGAAAAGGAGAGAAGCTGATAATCACAAGTTTTTATAAGCAGCAGATCTCAACATCTGAAGTTTTAGAAGTCCACACTATTGCCAGGATGGAGCCTAGGAGATGTAGAGGAGCTCCTGTGGAGGAAGGCAGAGGTCCAGAAATGGACAACATGGTCTGAGGGTCCCTGGATCACACTGAAAGAGACAGTTGCCCTTCTTGAAATGCCTTTGGGAGAGGTTGCATTGCCTCTCCAGGGACAAAAGAGCCAGTGGGCACCATGGAGCTGCCCCATTCATTAGCACAGAAGCAGAGGCAGCTGCTGAAGGCAACTAACCTGGATGACAGATTTTTGCTGCACTTTAATATAAACTCCAAATACCTGGCTGTTCATGCAATTGTTCTTCTGGGACAAAACAGCACCAACTTTAGCATGGAACACACTCCCCCAGAGGGTCAGTATGGGACTGTGTTGTACTGGGTCCCTAAAATTTGAAGTTTTGAAACCCAGCTGGCAAGCCATAGATAAAACATAGGAGCGCTGTGCCACTGAGTAGGCAGATGGCTTGGACACAGACAATGAAGGCAGGAATCTGAGGGATGCCTGGGACAAATGATGGAGTTTTCGCTCTTCTGTAAAGACTGCCTGAACTAATCCGTTCTGATCCAAGGTAGGATCAAACTTCCCTCTCAAAGGATGAGAGAGAGGCTGACACCATTTTTACCCTTACCCATCAGCATGACCAAACATCAGTGAGCAGCACACAGTGGGAGCTTGAGCTGCTAACACCAATTCCTGCCTCTTGGGCTCTGCCCATGCTTTTTCAATAGGGCAAGTTTTCCTGAGGCTCAGAGCAGCAGTGGGCCCCTCCCCCAGAAGACCAGCACAAACACCTCGCACCCACCAAGTCTACTAAAGATAGAGTACTGCAAAGCTTCAACTCTAGGTAAAAGAAGATCCAGTCTATTTTAGTGAGCAGACCAAAACACCCCTAGTTAACTTGCCACACAGTGGACAGGTCGAAACACTCCCCACTGCAGGCAAGGAGAAACTCTGCAGAGAACTGACTTAAGGGGAGGAGCATTCAAAACATAACAGCAGGGTAGGTACACTTAGTATACACCTGAGACACTTCCTGAAGTGTCAGACCCTGGGCAGTATATGACCTTTTCTTACTAGTCATTACTCTTAGGAGCAGGAAACCTAACAGGTCTTCCTAACATGAAGAAGACCTAGACAAAATGCCAAGACAGAGAAATTCATCCCAAAAGAATGAACAAGAAGAGGTCACAGCCAGGGATCTAATCAAAACAGATATAAATAATATTCCTGCATCAGATTTTAAAACAATAATCATAAGGATACTAGCTGGTCTTGAGAAAATCATAGAAGACATCAGGGGTCCTTTACCACAGAGATAAAAAACCTAAAAACTAGTCAGGCTGAAATAAAAACACTATAACTGAGATGCAAAACTGGATGTAAGAACCACAAGGACAGAAGAAATGGAAGAATGAGTTGCTGGTATAGATGATAAAACTATGGAAAATAATAAACATAAAAGAAAATAGAAAGAAAAGTATTGGATCATGAATGTAGACTTAAGGAACTGAGCAACTCCACAACTTTATGGATAACATTTGTATCAAGGGATTCCTAGAAGAGAAGGGGGGAAAATGGGCACATGGCTTATTTGACCAAATTATATCTGAAAACTTCCCTAATCTAGGAAAGGAAACAGACATCCGAATACAGGAAGCACAGAGAACTCCTATCAAAATCAATAAAAGCAGACAACACTAAGACATAGTGTAGTAAATTTTGCAAAATACATAATAAGGAAAGAACCCTGAAAGTAGCAAGGGAAAAGAAGTCTCTTACCTCCAAAGGAAGAAAACTAGGGTTAGCAGCAGATCTGTCCACAGTACTTGGCAAGCCAGAAACGAATGGCAGCATATATTCAACGTGCTGAATGGGAAAAAATCTGCAGCCAAGAATACTTTATCCAGTAAGGCTATCATTCAGAATAGGAGAGATAAAGAGTTTCCCAGACAAACAAAACTAAGGGAGTTTGTGACCACTAAACTAGCCCTACAAGAAATATGAAAGGGGATTCCTTGAGTGGGAAAGGAAGACCAAAAGCAACAAAGACTAGAAAAGAACACAGAAAATCTCCAGAAACACCGACTTTACAGGCCATGCAATCACATTAAATTCGTATCTATCAATAATCACTCTGAGTATAAATGGACTAAATGATGCAACCAAAAGAGTGTCAGAATGGATTTTTAAAAAGACCCATCTATATATTGCCTACAAGAGACTCATTTTAGACCTAAAGTCACCTGAAGATTGATAGTGAGGGGATGGAGAAACATTTATCATGAAAATGGGCATCAAAAGAAAGCTGAGTAGCAACAGTTACATCAGATAAACTAGATTTTAAAACGGAGATGGTAACAAGAGATGAAGAAGGGCACTATATCATAATAAAGAGGTCTATCCAACAAGAAGATCTAACAATTGTAAATGTTCATGCCCACAACTTGGGAGCACTTATATAAATCAACTAATAACAAACATAAAAAAACTCATGGATAATACAATAATAGTAGGGAAGTTAACACCCCACTTACAGCAATGGACAGATCATCTAAGCACAAAATCAACAAGGAAATAATGGTTTTCAATGACTCACTGGAACAGATGCACTGAACAGATATACTTGGAACATTTCATCCCAAAGCAGGAGAATACACATTCTTCTTGGGTGGATATGGAACATTCTCTGGAATAGATCTCATACTAGGACATGATTCATGCTTCAAAAAGTACAAACAGATTTAGATCATATGATGCATATTTTCTGACCACAATGCTATGAAACTTGAATTCAGTCACAAGAAAAAAATTTGAAAGACCACAAATACATGGAGGTTAAAGTAGATCCTACTACAAAATGAATGGATTAACCAGGTAATCAAAGAATAAATCAAGAAATACAAGGAAGCAAATGAAAATGAAATCATCATAGTGTGAAATCTTTGGGATGCAGCAAAAATGGTCAAAAGAAGGAAATATATAGCAATACAGGCCTACCTCAAGAACAAAGAAAAGTCACAACTTTTCACAACTATACACAACCTAATCTTATACATAAAGGAGCTAGAAAAGGAACAGCAAATAAAGCATATATCCAGCAAAAGAAAAGAAACAATAAAGATTAGATAAAAATAAACATCATAAAAGCAAAAAAAATAGAACGGATCAATGAAATTAGGAGATGGTTCTTTGAAAGATTTATTTTTTAAGTCTTTTAAAAAAGATTTTATTTATTATTTATTCATGACACGCACAGAGAGGGAGAGGCAAAGACATAGGTAGAGGGAGAAGCAGGCTGCATGCAGGGAGCCCTATGTGGGAATCCATCCCCGGACCACAGGATCATGCCCTGAGCGGAGGCAGACACTCAACCACTAAGCCACCCAGGCATCGTGAAAGATTTAATAAAGTTGATAAAATGCTAGCCAGACTTTTTTGTATATTTTCTATCGGAGTTAAATTTGCAAACATACATTATAAAACCCAGTGGTCATCCCGTCAAGTGCCCCACTTCAGTGCCCATCACCCAGTCACCCCATCCCCCCGCTGACCTCCCCTTACACTACCCCTTGTTTGTTTCCCAGAGTTAGGAGTCTCTCATGTTATGTCACTGTCTCTGATATTTCCCACTCATTTTCTCTCCTTTCCCCTTTAATCCCTTTCACTATTTTTATATTATCTGAATGAATGATCATATAATGTTTGTCCTTCTCCAATTGACTAAGTTCACTCAGCATAAAACCCTCCAATTCTATCCACATTGAAACAAATGGAAGGTATTCGTCATTTATAATGGCTGAGTAATATTCCATTGTATATATAGACCACAACTTCCTTACCCATTCATCTTTCGATGGGCGCCAAGGCTCCTTCCACAGTTTGGCTATTGTGGACATTGCTGCTATAAACATTGGGGTGCAGGTGTTCCGGCGTTTCACGGCATCTGTATCTCTGGGGTAAGTCCCCAGCAGTGCAATTGCTGGGTCATAGGGTAGCTCTATTTTTAACTTTTTGAGGAAGCTCCACAGAATTTTCCAGAGTGGCTGTACCATTTCAAATTCCCACCAACAGTGCAAAAGAGTTTGCTTTTACCCCCATCCTCTCCAAAATCTATTGTTTCCTGTCTTGTCAATTTTCCCCATTCTCACTGGTATGAGGTAGTATCTCATTGTGGTTTTGATTTGTATTTCCCTGATGGCAAGTGATGCAGGGCATTTTCTCATTTGCTTGTTGGCTATGTGTATGTCTTCTTTGGTGAAATTTCTGTTCATGTCTTTTGCCCATTTATGATTGGATTGTTTCTTTGCTGTTGAGTTTAATAAGTTCTTTATAATCTTGTATACTAGCCCTTTATCCAACAGGTCATTTGCAAATATCTTCTCCTGTAGATTGTCTTTTAGTTTTGTTGACTGCTTCTTTTGCTGTGCAGAAGCTTTGTATCTTGATGAAGTCCCAATAATTCATTTTTGCTTTTGTTTCCCTTGCCTTCATGGATGTGTCTTGCAAGAAGTTGCTATGGCCAAGTTCAAAAAGGGTGTTGCCTGTGTTCTCCTCTAGGATTTTGATGGATTCTTGTCTCACATTTAGATCTGCCATCCATTTTGAGTTTCTCTTTGTGTATGGTGTAAGAAAATAGTCTAGTTTATTTCTTCTGCATGTGACCGTCCAATTTTTCCAGCACCATTTATTGGAAAGATTATCCTTTCTTCAGTGGATAGTCTTTCCTGCTTTGTCAAAAAGGAGTTGACCATAGAGTTGAGGGCCCATTTTGGATTCTCTATTCTGTTCCATGGATCTATGCGTCTGTTTTTGTGCCAGGACCACACTGGCTTAATGATCACAGCTTTGTAGTACAACTTGAAATCCGGCATTGTGGTGCTCCCCAGCTCTGGTTATCTTTTTAAATATCCCCCTGGCTATTTGGAGTCTTTTCTGATTCCACACAAATCTTAAGATGATTTGTTCCAACTCTCTGAAGAAAGTCCATGGTATTTTGATAGGGATTGCATTAAATGTGTAAATTGCCCTGGGTAGCAATGACATTTTCACAATATTAATTCTTCCAATCCATGAGCATGGAATATTTTTCCATTTCTTTGTGTCTTCCTACATTTCTTTCAGAAGTGTTCTGTAGTTTTTAGGGTATATATCCTTTACCTCTTTGGTTAGGTGTATTCCTAGGTATCCTATGCTTTTGGGTTCAATTGTCAATGGGATTGACTCCTTAAATTCTCTTTCTTCAGTCTCATTGTTAGTGTATAGAAATGCCACTGATTTCTGGGCATTGATTTTGTATCCTGCCACATTGGTGAATTGCTGTAGGACTTTTTGAAATCTTGAGGTGGAGTCTTT